TTTCTAGGTAAGGAGTAGTAGGTAAGTATATACCTAAGTATATTATACCTATAATATAATAGTATAGGTAATATTATACTAATAAGCTTTAAGTTTATTTATAGTAATATTATAAGTATTTTACTTATTATTCTTAGCCTTCTTAAAGGCTTAGATATATACTATCTAAATAGTAGTAATAATAGCTTATAAGAAAAAAAAATAAGTAGTAAACTTATAAGAATATTATAAGAAACTACTTATCTTATTATACTTAATAGTTAATAGTAAAAATAACCCTATAAGGCTAAGGTAGTAGTATATACCTTTATAAGTATAAGAGTATAGAGGGACTTATAATTCTTTATTAAATTAGCTATAAACTTACTAGAACTATAAAGAGGAATTATATAAACTTTAAAATAGGTAGTATAAGCTATTATATTATTTATAATTAAAAAGAAAAATATTAAACTTAAGATAGAAATATAGTAAAAAAATAGTAATATATAAAGGGTATTATAAGAGATTATTAAGTTTAAAGGACTTATACCTACCTACCTTTTTAAATATTCTTTATAAAGAACTACCTACTTATAATAAAATTAATAGTAAACTTACTATAAAATTAAGATAACTTATAATATACTTATTATAGCTATAAACTTAATAATATAGGCTTTCTTTTAAAGAAAGAAGAGTATTAACTAGTAAGTACTAGTAAGGATAGGCTTAGACCTTACTATAAGTTAGCTAAGAAATTATAAAGAATAGAATTAAGAAGGGATTTATATATTTTTTTTAAAAAGAAATTTTTTATTATTTAGATTTTAATATAATATATTAATAAAAATATAATAAAAAACTAATAAAAAAAGGGTAAAGACTTATAAAAAATATATAGAGTTTAAAATTAGTCTTTAGAATATATTATTAATATTAATATATAAGAATAGTAATAGAAATATAATATAAAAGCTATAAAAAGACTAAAAAGAATAACTTATAAAAATTAATAAAGGTTAAAAAAGAAAAAAAAAAGGCTTTATAAAAAAAAGGTTATAATAATAATAATAAAATACTAACTATTATAAAAAGAATAAAAAATTACTTTCTAGTTATAAAGCCTTTTTATACTTAGGTATAATTTATAAGATAGTTATATAAATTAAGTAAAAATACTATAAACCTATATAAACTCCTATTTAGTACCCTATTTAGAACTAGTATTAATTACTTTTATAAAGGCTATACCCCTAATAAAGAAAAATAAACTATACTTTAAAAAGAATAAAAAGAGCTTTTACTATTATAAAGAAGAGATAAAAAAGAAAAAATAGCCTATTATAACCTATATATAGTTATATATAAAGAAATAGCTATAAAAGAGTAATAGTATAATAAAAAGCTATTAAAGAGGACTTTCTTTCTTTAGTAATTAATAAAGTTATATTAGGAACTACTAGCTATTATACTATAATATCTTTACTATCTCTCTACTCTCCTTCTTCTAGCTTACTGCTGATATCCTGATATTAGCTAACTTCCTTAAGGTGCTTTAGGGGTTGCAAATTCATAAGCGGATCAAAAGATCCTATATCTCCAACATATTCCATTAAAAGAAGTTCTACTAGTAGAACTTTAGCATGTTTTTGTTTATCTTGCACGATTAAGGAAACGTGCTGGTTGGCGTTATTATCCCAATTCGCGCAATTAACGTAGCACCCCTCTCTCGATGTTGGCAAGAATCAATAAAGCCCAAGCCACGGCGCCAAAACACGAACAAATATTGGCTTTTTCTCATTTCTTTTGCATACGGGCCAGGCCAGGATGCCACCCACGGCACTAGACAGCCAACCGAGGAGCCTGTCACCTATGCGCATAGTACGCATGTATAAGGCAGGGTTTCTGAAGGGCGCCAAGCACTTCCGCGATCTAGTAACGATTTTCACGGCAGAAGCTTCTAATATAATATAAGCGTTCGAGCAGATTAAAGTGCGAAGGAACTCTCAGTCTATCAGATGATGATTTGCGACATTCAGCTTCATAGCCCACTCCTGCGTAGGCTTATAGACCCGTGGCCAGTTACGAGTTTTTGCAGCGTTGCTAGGAAAAGAGCTTGATAAGCATCGAATTTTCTACATGGTATCGGCACTAGCGTGCTAGTGAGATCCACATGATGAAACTGTGCACGATATGCAGGCATAGGCAAATAATGTAGTTGTTAGCCATTCGGGTGCAAATTTTAGCAGCGCGAGATTTAACGCGGGTGCCTCCTAGATGGGCGATGAGGGCACGTGGACCACTAAAAGAGTCGCACGACGACCTTTGGTCTGACTAATCACGTGATTGGTTAGCACATAATCAGCTCCACCGCCAGCATCCCGCCCCTCACCAAGTGTCCCCGCGAAGAAACGAGACAAAAAAAAAATATCATTACAAGTCGTGTGCAGTCTTAATGCATCTATCACCGAAGGGATATAGGGAGGGCTAAAACGCAGTCAACCTATCCTGATGAGTTCAGCACTTGAGATCCGCCAGCTAGATGCGGAAGAGAAAGAGTGCTTGCGCGACTTGTTGAATTATACTGAGCGACACCCAGACGGATGGCGCCCGACGGAATACAACGGGATGCATGAGTACTCCCACAAAGACGTTCATCCCATCGTTAAACCTATCATTGAAACAGTACGTATATCGAAGTTACCCGAGGTAATAGGATCTGACAGTTCTTAAAGGATAAAAAGGGCTTTCTTATGCGTATCTCTGGCAGCTCTAGGAACCTACTGTATAGGTTTAGTGTTGGCGCTCTGATACCGATTTCGGGCGAGCGATACTCGCTAATTGAAGGAAATAATCATGTTCAGCTTGCACTTGAGGAGAAAGGACGAATTTTAAAAGAAGTCGCTATACGAGTTGAAGATAACTGTATATTAACTCTACTTTGGATAGTTAATATCTAGTAAAGTCTTCTCATTATGGTTGCTATGTGGCGGCACGAATCTAGTAGAATGCTTAGGATCTATATCCTTGTAGTGCTATTCCTAGACTGATGGCCTTAGAAGGTAAAAGACTCGGGATTGATGGGGATATCAACCTCGTGAGCAGTCTGGCAAGGAGCCCCATAAGTAGTCAGATACGCATTTTGTGTGAGACTGGAGAGAGAGTTGGGATAAATATTCAGGTAAGTAGCGTCGTAATTGCCCTGATAGTTGTCCTGAAGACCGCTTGAAGAGTCAGGATCAACGGTAAAGCCGGCGTGGTGCTCGACGGGAGTGATCGTATTCGCGAAAGGCGGTCCATTAAATCCGGCGGCCTCTGCATTCTGAGTATGATTTGCGGTTGGCAAAAACCCCGTATAAGGAAAGTTGCCGGCACGAGGCAGCTCACAAGCAGGTTGCCTCTGCATTGCGTGATAGCCTGTTGTTTCTGAGGTAGCGAGAGAACTCAACATTCCAGCCGCTTCCGTAGCAGTCATTTGTGTTTGTGTTTGACATTGTTCGAGAGAGATTTGCCTTTCACTTTCGTTGGGCCAGAACATCGAGCTCTGATAGTCCAACAATTTATTTGCCAAGCGAAAAGTGTCATATTGCTTCGGAGGGGTCATGATTTTGATCGAATGGAGGTGCTGTACGACGGTACCGTAATCTTTCTGAACAAGGCCGTGGCCGGTGTCCCATCTATAATGATTAGTATACGCTCGCATCCGACAAATAGATACATACATTGAATCTAGTATAATATCATAAAAGAATATCCCTAATGCGCTTCTGAATAGTTCATCCTCGTTTGCGACCGTATTGGTTACATCGTTGTCGCACCATTGTTGGTTATTGGAGCGTGCTAGAAGATGACAGAACGAGACTCGGCGTTTCCCAGCTTTGATGATAAAGAGACAAGCTGTAGTCGCGTCGTTAGAAGCATCACATATCAGAAAACGTAAGAAGCCCTGGACATGGCTCTTCCGAATTGAATCTATTTCAGGCTTCCAACGTCGGAAATGCAAGTATACAGCAACCGTTGTGAACCTCCATAAGACTTTATAGGTCGAAAATTTCTTATAGACGTGAATCGCGGAGATAGTGAAGAACTTGCGGTATGCGTCAGTTGAGTTCAATAACCCGACAGGAGACTCGTCCGGCTTTGGCCACCAAAAGGTCTCTGGATTATTATCCCATAGGCAAAATTGACTAGAAATTGAATCGTCGACCTTCAACTGTGGACGTTCGATTGACTTGATTGCCATAGCGTTATTGATAGCCGGTGTTATGCTTCGCTTCCTAAAGTTGTCGTGGAGCGACTGGTACCATCGTTCGAGGATTTGGCGATTCCCGTTGTTTTTGAGAACCACATCCGCTGATTCATTGTCGTTATAGGGCAGTAGTAGGCTCCGAAGCTCCAGAATCGTCAGTTTCGCCGACCCGTAGCGCCTTTCCCGGTGTCGAAGATTCGTCTCTGCTTTCCGCATCATCATTGTGAATAAATGAAGGAAGAATTGTCTCCGGATGTAAGAATGAGAGGCTGCTTGTGGAAGTTCAGCTCTGATTAGGAGGTCCGCGGGGTTAGAATACGCTAAGAACGCCACTCGTTCCTACGCTAACCCAAAAAACGAGAAAAGTCTGGTGTGCACCCGACTTTCTCGTTTTTTGGGTTAGCGTAACGCAGACTTCGGTAAGCCCAGTCAATCTGTTGAGCCGAGCCATCACTTTCAGGATATATCTCGAACTGCAGATTAGATAGAATGATAAATAAAGCCCGCCCTTAGGAAGAAAGTGGCCACTTTACAAGCCTTGCGGTGTCAACGATTGCCGGGGGGTCAGCCTCCTTCTCGGGGTTTCTGCAACGAGTGTGTCAGATATCAGTTCTCTATATAGAGTATAAAGACAATATGCGGTTTGGTGATCAAAGGGTTCAGAGACAAACCCCGTCATGGCAATGCCCGCTCCGTGATATCGGCTCTGAAATGCATAAAAGCGATCGATCGAACGTAGCTTTTCCACCAAGACTCACCGCTTTTTAGCATGCATTCCTTCGCAACGCGAGGAGATGTCGTCGAGAATTCAATTTTTGGTACTTTTGGTATCCTCTTCTATGCTGCCACTCTTGTCCAAAGCTGGCGTCACTTCAAAGTTGGCCCTGTCAGTGCTGCACAGTGGTACCACCAAAGGGCATTCCTTTCAGCTCTCATACCCGCCATTACCTTCCTTGTTGGTAATATTGTGTGCCCATCATGGATTGGCATTGCACACAGCCGTGGCTTACCAGACACTGCTCCTGGGATACTATGGAAATTCACTGTTGCCATATGCTTCGCTCTTTCTGAAGTATGTCTCATTCAATAATTCCTTCGATTGCAGACAATCAAACTCTTTGCGGTTTCAGATCAAGTTCCCAAGAGAAAGCTCGCTGGTGCCTGCATTCTGTTTCTCCAAGCGCTGTGGCTTGTCTTTGGCATCTGGCAGTTGCGTTCCGGGGCGGTCTGGGCCTTTCCGGCCATTATTCACGGGTCATTTGCGGCGATTCTGCTCTATCAAATAATCGCCCGGAAGTGTCATGCATCACACCCCGCACCGCCTCACTCTTATTTCCTTCGCTTTTTTCTACGTACTTTGATCGCCACGGCGAGCCTTGCCATGGGCTGTTACTCATTTGTGAAAGGACCGCTCAGATGGCACTTTAGCGTGCAGTGCGCCTTCTCACTGTTTGAGGCTGTTCAGTCACCCGTATATGCAGAAATGCGATTTATGAAGGAGAGGTCAGACCGCAAGCGGGCTGCGGCTCTGTCGAATAATAAGCAGGAGGCGATCCGGAAGTTGGGTCAATAACCAATCACAGCAGAGTCTAGTTTGCCACCATGAAACTAACTGCACTGTGTAGTTTTTTTGCTGCATAAATAACTTATTAATAGTCTATCATGAAAGATACAATAATACATGCAAAATTGGTTGCCACTTTACTAAGTTGGGCCCACGCCCACTGTGGGAAACGCAGGACTGAGATCTCGAATATATTTTGCTGTTACGCCCTCAAAGTGGAACAGTCTTCTCCCGTTATTTTTCTCCTTGGCGGAACTCCAGTATAGCAGACTCCGTGGACCGAAGGAGGAGTGACGGTGAAACGGGAGTGGCGGAGGGGGATCCTGGCGATCCTGGGAGGAGCGAGGGGTGCGAGCCGCGCCCTGATAACTTGACCCCGTCAAAGACAGTTTAAAGATCTTGGTTTATCTAACTTGGGATATTTTCTCAACAAATAATTCTTTGTATCACATTGAACTCGCTTTCAGAATATACGGTACATTTGTTTTCACTTATGCTCAATTATACCCATGGCTCACCATGTCACAAAGAAATGCACCGGCGATCCTTGCACGGAGTGTACTATGAGCGCCGGTGCTCTCGAGGTTAATGTGCTTGCTATAGCCGCATGCACTGACTGCCCGTTACGGCTCTGTGGGAGGCATTTTCTCTTTACTTGCAAAATCAAAAGGTAGTCCCTCGGTTGAAACTCCAATAGTATACATTTAACACGAACCAGCCCTATTAGGGAGTCACATGAAGCGGCAAGATCCGCACCACCAGATCAGTAGAGTAACAATCTTGGCATCTATGATTGCAGTTTTCTGGTCAATGTCAAGGCTGGATCGACCACAAGGTTACTTTTCAGTGTGGGATCTGCGCTGCAGTCGTGGTGGCAAGACCGTTGTTTATGGCTTTGGCCAAAATAAATGGACACCGGCCAGGGGAGGACAGGTCGACGTAAGAAGTACAGCAAACTGGTAGTCTCCGGAGACTTTCATCTAAAGAATTATAAAACTTGGTTGCCCTTGGATCCGAATCTGCTGCCCCCAGAACCGTAATCGCGGCCTGTCATCATGACTTCCCGGATTGCTCAGAACCGTGGCCTGTAAGTCACCACAGCCCTGTCCCTGAGGAAGGCTAATGCTAGTCAGAATCGCCCATGAGGGCGAACCGACTCGGCGTATCCAGAATCCAGCAGACCTCGAGCCAAAATATGCCCACAAAAAATACACTGCTCTCGCCCAGGCCATGCTTATTAGCGAGCGAAAGCACAAGGGCTTACGGGTCCAACCACGTTTAAGCGACTACGACCTCTGCCGAGCTTTATCGCCACTACTTAACTCCGCTGACTGGACTATTGATGAATCGATTGATACCCTTAGCGATAAGTTTCAAGCTCAGCTACGGGAGGATAGGGTGGCCGGGCTACCGGATTGTTTCTTCCCATTACATAGTTATACCAGCCGCGACGAGCAAGCCGAAGCTGCAGCACCGAGCTTGAGGCACCTAAAGGAAATCAGTTTTTTTTATCTCAGAGATCGGCAACGATGAGGAGCGACTTCAAAGTGCGGCTGAGGCCTGCGGAAAGTTATGTTTCAAGCATACTCTAGAGCTGCCCAAGGGTCTTGACGATACGATGTTGCCCGCTCTGCTTGCCAAGCTCGCAAGTATGGAGGAAGGTTATAGGAGATCTGCCAGTAGATAAGCCCTCCTGGCACTTTGACACTTAGAGATGGAGGTGAACGGCTATCTTCAATCGATACATCTGTTTATTACCGTTGCCACCACGGCATGTGACAAGCTGACAGGTCGACGGCTGATGGAATGGTTAGCCCGCATTTATTGCCCGAGGACGCCGAACCCGCTCGCTCCCATGGACATGAGTATTTAGAACTGAATGCCCTCGTCATCAAACTATTGTCCCCGTTCTCCCTATAAATGATTTGCAACAGATGTGATCGAGATGAACAACTATCTGCCTCTGGAGCGGCCGTGGCATGGACAACAGTCTCGTTTTGCAAACCCTCCATCGTATTACTTGGCATACACCAGGACAGTATTAATACAACCAGGCCCAGACACTGAAAAGAAAATAGGACTTTCGGGCCATTTTCAAAACATCACGCCCCTCGAGTATCAATCCAGCTTTCTAGCTAGTTCTTTTCTGTGTTTTCAGCGCGTGGCGCACAATCTTGCGCCTGGGAGGGGCACGAGGGGCGGCGAGCGCGGCGAGCGGTGCAATTGAATGCGAAGTTCACTGGGAGCCAACTTGGCCGCTATTTATTTGCACGAGTCAAAAGCGTAGTGAACCATGGCTGAAATGTGTCTTTGACCCAGCCAGCAACCGCAGACACGGCGGCTTGCAATTGGTATACGCCTACGATACTGTCGGTATCGCCTATTCGAAAGTTGTCGTCAAGCACAGTCTACTAGAATTAGTGCCGGATAATGAAACTCAGATAAGCGAACGAGAAACTTACTATTTCCGTGCCAGCGTCCACAACAAACAAGAGAGTCCAAACGCCACCAACAACCTGGACGACGGGAATTGTGATAATCTTGTCTGTTACCTCTCCGAGGGCGATGATGCTGCGCATTCGCTGATGCCATGCAGCAACCCATATGCCAAGTTGGACATTGGCGTCCTCCATAGTGCCGGATGAGATCTTGGTTTCGATAAAGATGGGAGCCGGTCGGGTACGGAGCGGCTCATATCTGGTTTGATTGATTGTGGCGGTAGCATGTCTCTGCTTGGCCAGAAACTCGTCAATCAGACGTTGCAAACTCGCCTCAGGACGAAGAACCAAGGCAAAATCAACCATTTTGTGGACCGACGATGTGTAGGAGCTCAGCTGAGTTTGTCCGGACGCACTGCTCGCGTTGGACAGACTGGCAGTAGGTGGTGCTTGCTCATTCGAGTTGAACAAAGGGCGAAAGGCGGGGAGAATTTGTGCCGAAGTAATGGGCTCGATATCGAGAAACTCTATGCAGCGAGTTGCGTGCTGTAGATAGGGGCTGTGTACAAGGCAATTCCAAGCAGCCTCAGACCGATGGAGGTTGGAGGAGGCAATGGAATCATCCACGATGCGTCGTAGGTGTGCGTGCTCTCGAAGAGCGGTTTTCTTGTCGTTTGCGCTAGTGTGATCGTTTGTAGCATCGGTGGAAGTCCACATGAAGCTTCGAATTCTCGCGTCCTGAAAGTCCGCGTGGGACCGCAAAATTGCTGGAAGGATCTGCTCCTTAGCCGCGACAATAGACAGAGCCTCAAACAGCCTCTTCGCATCGCTCGGGATAGCTTTATTAAGGTCACACTCTTTCATGAAACGAACAGGTCTCGCCAAGTCGAGCAGGTCGGTTGTCTTTAGGAACCGTTTCGTTGGAGATTTGCTGCGCGATTCCGCTCTGATGTAGGAAGATTCTGTGGGAGCACGCGGTTCAGTTGCAGCAACGGAAAAGACCGTCCTGCTTGCGAGCATGGCAATGGTGACGGGCGGACAAAAAGTAACGTTCGAGTTGGGCAGAAGCCCCGCCTATTAAATCCGAGACGGCCTTTGGATGGTCTGCACTTTCGTGGGTTTTTGCGTTGACAAACAATCGTTCTCGTCGTAGCCTTGATGCCCAATTTCCCCTCCTCTTGTAGTGCATTTTTCGCAGTATGAACCTAAAGACCACAGTAGGACTGCTCTCCCTCTTACGTCATGCCAAGCCGTATTGATAAATATGCCTTCCACTCTTCTAGAACTGAACCGAACGAAGGCGCGCGCCGAAGCCACGAACGATCAGGATCACATGCTCGAACCCCACCTCGCGTCTTCACCTCGAGTGTGACCTAGCTTCATCGAACAGAACTCTGTATCTCCTGCGACAAATATTCGGAACCTCCTACTGATTTGAACCGCCGAACTATAATACCGCGCTCGCACTTCCAGAAGCCTGCACGGTCGTTGGCGCCATGGCCATCACGGAAGCAGATCTGGTGAGATATTGCCTACGCCGTTGAATAGGCCTTAGCTAACCGCTGCAGAGGGATAGCTGGCAGGACTCGACGACGATGCAATTCGCGGACGAACATAAGAAGCCGGTGCATTTGTTCGAACAAATAAGTTACGATAGAGACTTCTATTGCAAGGCATGCGAGGACATTCGATTCCAAGATGAGAATGGCATAACTGTATGGGATACCCACGGTAGTGGACAGATCAAAGTTCCAGCGGGCATACGCGTCTTGGCGAAAGGGGGCTGGGCTATTTGCAAGTGAAATTTTTTATTAACTATATAAAACCTGCACGCTTTGAAGACATTCTCTCCAGCCGATGCGCAACGTGACAATAATGCAGGAGCCAGGATAAATGTTGCCACTGACACAAGATGTCTCGATCGCCAGCCCATCTTGTATCTCCTTTGCCCATGTGTTGGTTGTCGTTACGCCGTGTACCACAGTACTGCCCAGAACCGCGCCAATCTGACTTTTAATCGCGCGTTCCAGCGCAAAGGGTTCTGCAAATTCTTAGTGAGGTTTTATTGTGGTTTGTGTTAGCGTACCTGAAACGATAGGCTGCGGTATTTGGTGCCCAAATAGTGTCCTAAGCAGCTCAGTGTCGAAGCCAACAGTCATCCTCATAACACCATCATACCGCTCGTCTACTGGCAAAAACGTTGTTATGTCTCGAACGGCGAGGATAAGACAGACGAAAATTGCATCAGTGCAACGCTTGGTATAGAACTTGTGGATAATGCTTAGTCCGGGCCCTAATGCAGGCTAGTCCAGACTTGTAAATAGATAAATCGCATCCCTAGCTATTATTCTATATATTAATAGTAAGAAGTAACGTTTTACTATAGTAAGAAGAAAGACTTATAGAAAAAAACTTAAATAATAAGGTAGTTATATAGATAGTCTGTCTAGTAAGATAAGTTGGTCCGGCTAGCAGGTCTCTTTATAATAGCGTTGGTTAAGGTCTGGATAAGCCATGGCTTAAACGTCTCGTTAGCCCAGCTGGCTAGTACGGACATGGCCGCTTGTAGCTGGTAGACGCCTAAGATGCTATCGGTATCACCGATCTGAAGCTTGCTATCAAGTATGCGCTAACAGGATTAGCAAGGAGGTAACAAATTGGCGGGCAAGACTTACTATTTCCGTGCCGCTGTCCACGACAAAGAATACAGTCCATAGACCGTCAAGGACCTGAATGATAGGGACAGTGATAACCGGCTTAACCTCCCCAGGCTTTACCTCCCCACCTAGTGCTATAATGGTGCGCATACGCTCGTGCCATGCGGCAATCCAGATGCCCATTTGTACGCGGGCGCTCTCGACAGTTCCGGATAGTGTCTTGGTTTCGATGAAGATGGGGGCTGGCCGCGTGCGGAGGGGCTCGTATCTCGTCTGGTTAATTGAGGCGGTATTGTACGGCTCGCCGCGGAGAAAGTCAGAAATCAGAGTTTCCAAGCTCTCATCCGGCTTAAGCACTAGGGCAAAGTCGACCATTTTGTGGACGGATGATGCCGGGGCGGTGGGCCAATTTTGCAATGGTGCGGAATCATGGCTAGACGCAGCGCTCGCGCTGCTAGTAGTGGATGTGGCGACGTCTTTTGACTTGAACTTTGGGCGGAACGAGGAAAGAACCTGCGCAGAGGTGATGGGTTCGAAATCGATCCCGTCTGCATGACGAAGGGCAAACTTCAAAAACGGGCCGTGCACACGACAGTTCCAGGCAGCCTCTGATCGAGATAAAGCAAGCGAAGTAGTCGATTCCTCCGTAATGTCTTGCAGCTGCTCGTGATTCTTTACAGCCGTCTGATATGAATCGGGGGTTGCGCCAACGACAGGTGGCGCCCACATGAACGGTCGATATCGGGACGACTTAAAGTCGCCGTGGTGTTGCAAGGCGGCAGGTAGGATAGACTCTTTGCCGGCCACAATAGATAGAGACTGGGAGAGACTCTGGGCGTCGCTCGGGAGGACATCCTCCAGAACTCGCGGATTGGTGAACCTGACGGGTATCGCCAAGTCGAGCAGGCTCGGCACCTTGAGGGTCCGCTTCGGGGCCCGCTTCGACGGGGAGGAGGGACGCGATGAGGCCCCGGTACGCGACGTCTCCGACGTGGCATATTGCTCCGTCCCGTCTCCGGAGAAGACTGGCCTATTCGTAAGCACGGGAGCAAAGGAGGAAGACGCAGGTGGCACCGAGCGCGTTGCGGGACCGACAGCTTCGGTAAAGACGTCGTCGTCGGGGCGTCGCTGGAATCGGGCGCGTGTGGGTGTCTCATCGGGGTCGATTCGGGCGTCGTGATCGCTCGTGCGCTGACGTTTCGGCGGACTGGACATTTGGTCGAGAGGGTCGAGCGACGGACGGATAAGGGGCGCAGGTTGGGCTGGGTAAGGCACTGGGATATATTGTGCTACTGTATCAACCCACACACAAATATCATTAAACTCCATGCCACAAGCGCTGACAGTTAGTATGGCATATAGGAAGAAAACAAGTACTGTGATGATAGTTATGTAGGACGACCTGCTTCTCCTTAGCAATGAATGTAGCGAATTGGCGTGGCAACAGGTAGGACAGATTACATAAACTGCTAGCAAGCTACGCGCGTAAGGTCTAACAAGCATATAAAGAACAAAAAAACTACCGCTTTTACTAATACTATATTATTATATATAGGGGGTTTAATATAAATAATAATAGTTCTTATATACTAATTAGGCTAAAGAACCTATCTAGTACTTTTATTAATAATAAAGTAAAAAAAAACTAAAGTATAGAAAAAAACCTTAACTATATATATAAAATTATATATAGTCTTAATTTAAAATATATAAAGATTTAATAAAACCTTTCTTTATTTTAAATAAGGGGTTTATTATTATTTATTATTATATATTATATATAGAAATTTAAGTTTATATATAATAATATATAATTTATTTATATATTTAGTAATAAATAAAAGTTTTAATAAAGAGTTATTAAAATAAATTATAATATAATATAAATAATATAAATAGAATATATATATATAAAAATTAAATATATTAATTAGGCTATTTTTACCTTTCTAGTATCTTTATAAATTTATTTTAAAAGTAGAAAAAACCTAACTAGCTAAAAAGAAAAAACTTTTCTTTTTTTAATAATATTATTATATTTAGTATATATAGAAATTAATACTTCTATACTTATTATTCCTTTAACCTTACTAATATCCTTATTATAGTATTTATATATATTTAATATTAATACTTTTAATAGCTAAGTAGTATAGTAGTTAGTTATACTTCTTAGTAAGCCTTACCCTCTTATAGTTACCTTAACTTACGATTTTTACCTTACCTTAGCCTTACCCCCCCCCCCCCCCCCCTTATAAGTTGCTTATAGGCCTAAATTACTATACTTAACTTTTAGGAGAGAAAAGAGGGAAAGGAAAGGAAAAAATATAAAGAAGGGAAAAGGTGCCTCTAGCTAGATTTAAACTAGCGCCTATATACTAACCTATATAGCACTTCTTAATATAAAACTACTATATTATAAAGGTAATAGAATATATATAGAAAACCTTAAAAGAATTTATAATATTTATATAAAATAAGATAATAAGGTAGTCATACTTAAAAGAATTTCTATAAATATTAAATTATTATAATAGTTAGGTTAGATTAGGTAGAAAGGTAGGAAGGAAAAAGGTAGGTTATATTACTTATTAAGACTAAAGCTTATTCTCTTTTTCCTATTTAGAAATATCTATTCTTCTTTTATAATAATTAAAAGAAAGATAACCTATCTTTTTAATTAAAGCTTAAATACTAGTTAAATACTATTTAAAACTTATATATAATAACCTTATTTCTCTAGGTTTTTAATTTAAGCTTAACTTACTTATAGGTTAAGCTACTTTTATAATTAATTCTTCCTTAAGCTAACTTTAAATATCCCTTTATTTTATAGCTAATTAGTTATCTTATATAATTTATACTTACTATAAATCCTTAGCTACTATATATCTAATACCTATAATACTAACTTTATTAGTAGTATATAGTTCCTTAATTACTAAGGTTCTTTATAATTATAAGTATTAAATTAGGTTTAATTTAAATTATATATATTAGAGTATTATAGTTATTAATAATTAAATAGGCTTATTATAATTTATATTTTAATAATTACTATTACTAAAAAGCTATATTAATATAGATTATAATACTAATCCTACCTAAGTTAATAAGTTATATATTAACTAATTAAACTTAACTTAATATATAGATATTTAATATATTATAAATAATAATATTTAATTTAAACTAAACTATATTATAATCTTTATACTTTTATATTATTATTACTAGTTTATATAGTATATTATAAATAAAAATATTAATAGTTTTTATATATTAATTAGGCTAAATAATCTATTTAATACCTTTATTAATTATAAAGTAAAAAGAAACTAAAATCTTTAAAAGAGAATCTTAATTATCTTTTATAGAATTTTTTATAGTCTTATTTTAAAGTATATAAAAGTCTAATAAAACCTTTCTTAATATTATATAGTAGGTTTTTATTTATATATTAACTTATATTTAGCTTATACCTTTTTAACTAAGTAAGCTTATTAATTACCTTTTCTTTTTTAGGTTTTTATCTATATTAAAAGGGTTATATTTAATTCTATATATTTTTAGATTTATTAAGCTTATTAACTTCTTAATTCCTTTCCTTCCTTTCTAATTTTTATTTATATTAAGAAGTACTATATTTAGCCTTATATATCTTTAGGCTAGTTAAGTATAATTATTACTATAGTCTTAATATCCTTATCTTTTCTTCTTTTTAAAAATCCTAGCTTTTATTTCTTTTTACTATACTTTTTTATTCTTAATATCTTTATACCTTATCTACTTAGGTTTAGATTATTTCTAGAAAGTATTATAAAAGTACTCTTAGGATTATTCCCTAATTTATACTATTACTAGCCTATACTATATAATAAGACTTAGTAAATAAATAAATATATTTTCTTATATAACTATTAGCTTTTAGTAAAGACTATATAGTAATTTTAGCTATACTTTATTTAAATACTTATAGTTATTATTATTTTCTACTAGCTAGTATATTAGCTAGTATTATAAATAAAAAGATAATTACTTAAATACTATATAATAATAAATATATTAATTTATAAAAAAAGCTTTTTAAATATTTTATTTATATTATTAAAAACTAAATATAAAAAGAATATAAAGAACTTAGCTATTATTATATATAGTTATTAAGAACTAGCCTTAGGGTATTTATAAATAGGGATTATAATAGTATTAACTCTTTTATAAAGTAAGAAAGAAGGAAAAGCTAGTCTATTTATCTACTATAGTATATAAAAGAGGTATACTAAAAGCATGCCTATAGTAGCCTTAGGCTAAGCCTAGTCTAGAGTAGGCTTAAGCCTAACTTCTTTATAATAAGCTATTATTATATTAAAAAGTAAACTCTTTAGATTTAAGAATAACTACTTAATACCCTTAAAAGTAATAGCTATTAAACTAAATCCTAGTTAGTAAAATAAGTATAAGCTAAAGTAGTAAATAATTATTTAAAGAAATAAATATTAGCATAATATTATAACTAAATAATATAAAATAGTATTAAGTAAGTAGTTATTTTATATATTAAGATAAATTAAGATAATTACTTAAAGAGTTAATAAGGTATATTATAAACTTAATATATATATATATTTTATATAATTATAATATAGTTATTATAATAAAGATATTTAATAAAATACTAATAATTAATAGTTTTTTTAATTTAATATAATTTAATCTTTATTATATTATATATACTTAATAAAATAATAAATATCGTATTATAGAATTTAGAACTCCTTATTATTATTTTATAATAAGACTTAGATTATAATATATAAATATAAAAACTATTCTATTTAGAATCTAAAGTAAATATTATTTAATAAGAAATAATTTAATCTTAAATATTTACCTTTATAGTATAGTAGTTTTATACTAGGGAGTTCTATATAGGTTAGTATATAAATTACTAGTTTAAATCTAGCTAAAGATACCTTAAATAATATTTCTAAAAGTTAGGTAGTATATTCTACTATATAACTAACTTATAAGGGAATATAAGTAAGGTAACTATAGAGTTACCTTAAGTAAAAGCTAGAAGGTAATATATACTAACTACTATACTACCTTAGCCCTTAATTAATAAAATAAGGCTAAAAACTATATATATATTATAGTATATACTTATAAATAGGTATTATAATAAAGGACTATTCTACTATTTAAATATATATATAAAGATAAGTAATTAATATACTTAGATAGTTAATAAATAATAGAAGATATAAAGGGATATAGATTAAGGTAATAGCCTAGGAACCTATTTACTAAGAATATTAAATACTATTAATTACTATTAGGAATTATTTATAATAGTTAGGTTAGATTAGATAGAAAGGTAGGAAGGAAAAAGGTAGGTTATATTGCTTATTAAGACTAAAGCTTATTCTCTTTTCCTTTTTAAGAATATCCCTTCTTCTTTTATAATAACTAAGAAGAGGATAACCTATCCTTTTAAATACTAGTTAAATACTATTTAAATCTTCTATATAATAGCCCTATTCTTCTAGATCTACTTAGGTCTTAATTTAAGCTTAACTTACCTATAGGTTAAGCTACTCTTATAACTAATTTTTCTTTAGGCTAACTCTAAATATTCTTTTATCTTATAGCTAATTAGTTATTTTATATAATTTATACTTATTATAAATCCTTAACTATTATATATCTAATACCTATAGTATTAACTTACTTATAGTATATAGTTTCTTAATTACTAAGGTTCTTTATAATTATAAGTATTAAATTAGGTTTAATTTAAATTATATATATTAAAGTATTATAATTACCTTCCCTTTTAAAAAGTACTTTTCTAGGTACTATATTTAACCTCTATATTATTCTTTATTATAATAAATATAGATATATATTCTAAATAATAAATTATTTTATAAATATAATATAGTTAATTTATATAGGTATTATAGTTATTAGCTAGTAACTACTAGCTAATAAATAATTAATAAAATAATATAAAATCCCTAAATTTACCTTTAAAATAGGTTCCTTATATTATCCTTATATATTCTCTTATTAGTACCTTTCTTAATCTTATACTTCTTAGTTTATTATATTAACTCCTTATAGTAAGTATACTTATAATAAAGTATTTTTAAATTAGGCTACTTTCTTAGTTATTATTATTAAATAATAGTAATACTTACTAGTTCTTT